CACTACTAGAGTTTTATGAAGATTTATAGCTATTTTACCTTTCTTTTCAATTAGAGAACAAATTTATAGTCTAGACCTAGAAAATCTGGTAATAATAGGCATTTAATCAGTATTCAACAGTCTTACATGGAACAGTCGTACTATACAAAAGAATAGTTGACTGATTATGTCACAAGCATGCCTGTACGTGTATTGTTGGAAAACATATAAGAATTGTAAGAAATAAAAGAAAAACACTGGGAAGAAATTGCCTTAGTTTTGAATAAAGTTGAAGTGCAAAATCATTCAACAAATCAATTTTGCATTGGTTCAAGGAATTTCGAAATGCATGGCTATTTTCTGATTCTCAGTTTAGTTTTTAAAGCAGATTGCAGTCTAGGTTAGTTTTTAATTTTACACTCAAATGCTCATGAGTCATGCAAGTTGGTTACTATGTCAGATGATTAATGTAAACACAGCTTTTAAAAAATATACTCTGAATCGATTCAGGAGAGAATAAAGACTGTTTTAAAAATGTTAGAATTGATGCAATTTCTCAAACACATTTTCATTACAGCTCTTGTATTGTTGAGTTCTTACGCTCATTGAAAACCTGGAAAAGTCATGGAATTTTGACATGGCATTTTGCAGGCCTGGAACGGTTTGAGAAAACAGGAAAAACTCACTAAGTTTTGGAAAAGTCATGGAAGTTACATTTACATTTAGTCATTCATTCATTAATTTTCTTGTCGGCTTAGTCCCTTTATTAATCCAGGGTCGCCGCAGCGGAATGAACCGCCAACTTATCCAGCAAGTTTTTACGCAGTGGATCTCTGGGAAACATCCACACACACATTCACACACACACTCATACACTACGGACAATTTAGCCTATCCAATTCACCTGTACCACATGTCTTTGGAATGTGGGGGAAACCGAAGCACCCGGAGGAAACCCACGCGAAGGCTGAACCGAGGTTCCAACCAGCGACCCAGCGACCTTCTTGCTGTGAGGCGACAGCACTACCTATCACGCCACTGCCTCGCCACATTTAGTCATTTAGCAGACAATTTTGTATAAAGTGACTTAAGCTGCTGTCACACTAGAGCTTGTGCTTGCGAAATTCTGTCGTACGTCGCTGAGAAAAGGGGCGGGGTTAAACAATATTATTAGACATTAATAGCGATTGCTCCATATTTGAAATTTCTTATTTTAAGTTATCTTCTATTAGTCTAACTGATGTGATTTCGCAGGTAAGAATTCACCAAGCTTGAACTTTCGAATGCCGTAAAATGCGAAACTTGTTGCATGTTCTTGCTTTTCTGGTCTGCCGCATTTGCATGCCTATGAATGGAAGTCTATGGAGCGAAAAGTGCAGTGTGATCGCAGCTTTACAAAAGAAGTTGTTTTACCTACTATTAATATTTTAACAAACTATTAACATTATCTAAAATTAATTTGACAAATATCTCTATACTGGAATGGAGGTTAGTTGTTTTTACATTTCTTTTCTTGGCCATAAACATGTTCTTACATTATTAGGGCTGTGTAAGCATTATCTGTTTTGGGTAGATATAAAAATAAATTCAAAACTAAAGAAATTGTTGCATGGTTTTTGATGTGCTGTAATAAATTTAAATGTGCATTGTTTTTCTTATTATTTACTATGTATACATAGACATTACATGAATCATTAGGTCATAAAAATTTACTTGAAAGTCCTGGAAAAGTCATGGATTTTTTTCTTGTAAGAATGTGTATGAACCGTGTTTGAATATATCACATTAGATGAGAAAGCTCTGTGCTAATTTACAAATGTAAATATTGTTGTATTGCTCACAGTTGGCCATCGAATCTTAAAACCACCAATATGACCACTATGTACTTGGACTGGATTGGAATGTAGATTTCAGTGCCTCATTCCTCTGCTAGACAAATGCCTAAGGGGTTGATTAAAATCAGACATGGGAAGTAGAAGACTGGAAATGTGCATGTTTATGTAAAGAAGTCTACAATATAGGCTCTAATTATAGACAGCAGGTAATATAACTATATTTATATATATGTAATATATCTGTATTTTATTTCATTTTTGCTACACTGGTATTTCTTTTTATCAGCAATTGATTTTTTTTGTCGTTGTTTTTTTTGTTGCTTTTTTATTAAAGGGCATCATATTTTAAAAATTCTGCACTTTATACAAATACTGATTATAAGGCAATATCTAAGTGTCAATTACATAATATAAAATAATGCCATGCAGGCAAGAAATTGTGCTAAACCAACTTTAGAGCTAGCATTCTACACACTTTAAATTGCATATATAGACATGTAATTTGGAAGGGCAACATTTATTTGAATGAATTAATGAGCAAGAGATTGTTTATGTCTGCTGTGGTTTTAACAATAGGAAAAGTAAAAATACAATAGCTATTATCTCATTATCGTAGCTATTTAGTAATTGGGCTCCAGTCCGATGCTCTCTGTATTAATTCGATACTTCCCAAAATAGCTGGATCAGATATTTGTTGGAGTTGGGGACGTGTAATTCAATCCAATGCCAGTGTTGTACTAAACAAAGCAAAATCAAGCAGCCTCTCTGAATTTGCTGTCTGATTGCCTATTCTCAAACACACATCCTAATCTTAACCCTACCCCACACCTAATCTCAGCCCTACCAATATCCTGGCGAATGAGGTGATGTTTTTCAGCATTTTACCTGTCTTAATACTAAATTCCGAACAAAAGGTGTGCTCAAGATAACACCAAAACAGCGAGAGAGACCAAAGATTGTGCACTGTAATATAGTCCAGAACCGCTCTTAGAATATCCTGATGCAACACACCGGTCAGTCTTTGCCAGAGCATATAAGCGAAGCGGAGGACACTCAGCTCAATATTTCACGCTGCAGGCTGTTCTGCTCTCACTCACCGGTAAACCAAATCCCTCTCAGATGCCACTCGGACAGAACATTTTTGTAGTTTGTCTTATTGTTTTTTTCCTCATTTTCGTTTAGAATTTCTTAAGTACATTTCTGAGCAGAATCAAAGAACGAATTTAAGCAAGGCGAATCATTTCCAGTGTGACCTTATGTCTAATTTCATGCAGATACATTTAGAGCATCGCCAGTTCAATTGACCTAAACGTTTATAAAGTTCTGTATTTTTCTGTGTACACCATTGTTGGTATAGGCTTGTCATGGGTAAATAAATATGACCCTAAAACTACCAGTAGTATCCAATTCCTTTCTTAAAGAGGTAGTTCACCCAAAAATGTTCAAAACCTATGTGAATTTCTTCTGTTGAATACAAAAGAACGTAGTTTGAAAAATGCTAATTTCTGGGACCCATTGACTACCATAGTATTTTTATTTCTACAAAGAAAGTTAATGGATCCCACCAACCAGCATTCTTCAAAATATCTTCTTTTGTATTACACAGAAGAAAGAAATACTTAAAACAAGGGTGCCCTAACATTCATATAAACGGGCCAAAAATCAAATATCATTGAGAGCCATGGGCCGATAAATATACCGAACTACTTTAAATTAAAGCTGCCATGGGTAATTTCCTAATTTATTTCAGAATATTAAAAAATAAATCGAAAACATCACTTTGAATAGTATTAAATAATGCAGTATAACTTTTAAATGATAACTTATTGCAATAAAAAACAAAAACATCACATTTATAACACAGTGGAGTTCAATGCTGACTAGTCAAGCAGAAACTGCCTTTGCCTATATTTGCTCACCAGATTCTCTGCATTTTCCTCTATCTGTCAGGTGACAGTATGTACATTTTAAACTGAACTACAGCATTTAAATTGAAACAGCTAAATTGAGTCATAATTTTTGGTAGCTTAACAATAAAACAAACAAATAAAAGGTTACATTAAATTTGAAATGACAATCTCTAAACCATCCACATCATTCTCCTCCTCTGTCAGATGGGATGGCCCTAGTTTGGTCTTTTCTGGTTTAAAACCACACAATGAATTTAAATTTAAATTACCTCATCCTTTAGGCTTCATTGAGTGTTTTATTTGTTGTTGTTTTTTTATTGTTGTAAAGTTGTCCCTTTGATAAGCGATTCACTGAGTCATTTATTTAACCATTGTTTTTTTTTTTCCCCAAAATGGCTGATTTATCAGTTTTTCTTTTTACTTCACACACCCTTAAACACCTGAAACATTAACCCCTGTGTATAAAAGCTGTAAGTCTTACAAAAAAAAATAGCAGTTTCATGTCTCTTCCTCCATCTCCATAACAACATCCAGGCCTCTAAAATGAAGCCATCACCACACAATAGGAAAGAAGCACATTGACAGCAAGAGAAAATTACACCACTCGTCTACACCAATCAGTGTAATAACTCCATATCGTACTCTAGCAGGAGATTCATGCTTGATAATACATGTGGTGTGTCCTGGTTATTGAGGGAAGCACACACAACAGATGAAACCACACAAGTCATAATGGTGATGTGGGGAACAACATCGATATATCGAACATCTGAAATTGTCCACATTTCGAAGACACAAACCGGAGTAGGAGCACGGGTTATATTGAGCTCTAGTTCAGTTTCACAGCTGGGTATGTGGTTAATATGTCAATACACTGATCTCATGGGTTATGGTTTCATGTGTGTATTCGATCGTCTTGGGTAAACTGTGCTTTTGTCAGTATTCTTTTAACCAAGGTCTGTTGTTGTGATAAGCTACTTGCAGTTTCCGTATTTCTCGGCTCCCCATTTGTTTGATCAAGGTCTGACAAAGTCTCTTGCTGTGCAATACTGTGTGGCAGGACTAAATGAGTAGCTGCTGCCAGCAAGATGGCGCTGGACCATTTCTCTTTTCTGTCTCGGGAATCTATACATTCACCTGTTGATAATGCCTCTCACACTTAAAGCATTACTAGCTTACTTAAATCAGAATCACACTTGGCAGCCTAGGAAGTCATTTTGTGGAGCAACTAATGATCTCCTTCTCTCTTTGTCTGTCTTTCTTTCTTTTTTCACAGATTTGTTCCTCACCACCACATCAAATGAATTCGAGACCTGGATTAATAAGGTAGATTAAAGTACTACTTCCTCTTCTTTAGTCTTTAACACTAGGGTATTAAGAGAATTCCAACTTGTTGCAGTCATTCATTTGTATGAATTTTCAAAACATTCAGTTTTGTTTTGTTTTATGCTAAGTAGGGTTGTCACGATACTGGAATTCGATACCAATCGGTACTGAGGTTTTAAAAATGTCCATTTCAGTGAAGGTTATCAGTTATCAGTTATTTCCGTGAAGGTTATCAGCAAACTCACTGCTGTTTACAGAGTGTAACCACAAAAACAGGGACACCTTAGAAATAATTGTAAACTAACTAATACAGTAATTCTTTAACATAGGGCACATAAAGGACATATAACTTAAATTACACTGGTGCATGACATCTGTTACAGCTGCCATCAATATTGACAGTTTAAATTTGAGATGGTTTTTGAAAAGGTTGTAGTTTGTGAGATGGTCTGGTTTTCGAGAAATTGATATTATGCAATACTTTAAATTGTATCAGGCTAAGGTGAGCATGGATTGTACTAGAATGTATTTTCTGCAATGCATCAAGCCACCAATCTTCCTCAATACATAGTCCTAATTCATATTCCTATTTAGCTTTTTTACCTTTACTAAAAGAACAATCATCCAAGCTTAAAAGGTTTGAAAGTAGGAATGCACCGATATGGATTTTTTGACAGATATCGATAACTCTCAAGGGCCCTATCATACACCTGGCGCAATAAGGCGCAAGACATGTTGCTACAACATATTTGTATTTCTATTTTCAGACCAGCACAACACTAATTTTCCCGTTTTCCACGTTGTTTAAATAGCAAATCCATTTGTGCCACTTTGTGGACTCATGGGTGTTTCGGTCTAGATAAGGGGCGTGTTAAGGCACATTGTTGCTGCTTTGCTATCTTGAGGAACTAAACCATCTGATAGCAGGTCTAAAGTCCAGTGCAGAGCGCGTTAGTTGTACGGCTCCCTTACACATTGCTTATTAAAAATATTACTTTCTACATAAATATAAAATCCATTGTCTTCATGCCTTCTTAATCTTAAGGGGCTTTTTTAGTTTATTCATAACAATTTGCTTTTGTATAATGCTATTTTTTTATTAGCACCATTTATTCTATCCATATTTATACTTGTTTCATTAAAAACAAGCTTAGATTTGCCCACCTGTCGGCTTTTAGACCATATGCGTCATAGGACGTGTGTTTGGATATAACTCAGTTGTTTGACCACACTTTGTTATTATTGTTCTTTTATTCATTTGCTGGAAATTAGAACTGAATTTAGAAATAGTTTTAAAACAAATCTGCTCTTAACAAATTAAATTAATTATGTATAGGCTAATGGATGTCTGTGGATACAAAAAATTTCCTTATACACGAAAGAGAGTGAAAGTGAAAGTAAAGAATGAGGAGGCTTTTTCATTATCCTCTCACTGCAGATGGTCTGTTTTCTTGCTAGTGAAGCGCGCCATGTAAATAACAAATGCGCCGTGGCACGACGCAACTAACTCTTAAACGGAATGGGAGATGATACTCTGATTGGTTTATTCTCAAAAACTCATTAACAGAATAAGCTCAACCCTGTTAGATCACACGCCATGGCGCAGAGCGAATTTTCCTATCTTTAAAATAGCAAACGTGGATTCGGACACAACCTTAATGCTTTTTCGGACTTTGCGCCTAGATCATTAAAATAGAGCCCTAAGATTTAGAAGCCGATAGCTATAATACTATAGTCAATAATCATAAATATTTCAAAATGTTTTATTTTTATATAGTGAACAACTGATTTTATTTTAAAAACTTCATAAAAGTTTTAACTAATCTTATGAACTGAATAGCCTGCTTAAAGCAAAAAAAAAAAAATAATAATTTCAAATTTGCAACGTGATTATATAGACCTTTATTCATGATTTTATATAAATTAGCAATCCAAAAATAACTAATAATTGATGAAAGGTTTATGATAAACTGCTGTGTGTTTGAAACTAACTGCTGGCATTGTGTGATGCATGTGCACATGAAGCAGAGTCAGATTTTTCCTCGAGAGTCAGATTTTGATACAACACCTGAGCATTGAGTACTTTATGACAAACACAGAGCATAATATAAAGACAGAATGTAGCACTGGGTTTAGAACCCCTGTGCTGGATTCAGTGACTGGCACTTGTCTCCCCTGCTGCTGTGAAGGCTCTGACTGCTCACTAGTCACTATGTATATGCGTGGTAATAGCCATCATGTGCGCTCGTTACAATCATTATAAGTATGGCTATCACACTGAATACAATCTTACAACATGGCAAGCAATGCATTGATAAGAACAAATAATCATATTAGATTACAAACAACCCAACAAACTTGTTTAGCAAGTGTGCATCGCTGCTATTATGTTTACACATGTAATATTTTCCTTAGCCGATTTAAAGCAAAATACACAATGGCACTCTATCAAACACATCTACAATAATAAGAAACATGGTTACTTTCTGAGATATCAACGCACAGCAAACCCCACACAAAGAAAGGACAGACTTTGAAGTAATAAACAATGTAAGGAGAGCTCCATTATAGTGTACTGAACAAGTTCCGCCCACACATTTGCGAGGCAGGCAGTTCTGTACAATTACGTAACCTATCGGCTTAAAGATATTGTCCTAATTTTAATATCGGATCAATAACGATAACCTTTAAAAAAAACATTTATCGGCTGATATCGATATCACCGCTGATATATTGTGCATCTCTATTTGAAACCTTGAGTTTCTTTCTACTGTTACACATAAGAAATTATTTCGAAGAATGCTGGTTGATGGTACATATCAACTTCAAATCAGAAACTTAAATCAGTTTTGAAAAAGTGAATGTAGAGTAAATGATGAGAGATCTCACCTTTGGGTGAACAATCGCTTCGTTTATATTTATTTATAATCAAAATCTTACACATATACTGTATCCAAAGTGAAGAGAAATTATTGGGATAAGGACATACTGTAGAATGGCATCAGGAGCAAAAAAAGTCAACAAAATAAATGTTCTTCCTACAGAGTCATCCACAAGTTTGGACTTCAACATGTTGCTTACAGCACTGACATACAGCAAGCGTAGGTTTTAATGTGCAAGAACACAAAGTCAGAGGTCAACTACAGGAAGGAGAGCTAAGAAAAGAAAAAGTGTGTTGACAGGCGGCAAGATGGATGAAAGACTTAAAGCTAGGAAAACTAGAAAATCAAAGGTGAAAAGTGTAAGAAGTAGAGAGCGAGTTGTATAAAGGAGCATCTGCGCACAAGGGGGAACTGCAGAAATAGCAGATGATGAATAGTTGAACAATGCGAGCAAGAAAAAGAGAGAGAGAGAATTGCAGTGTGCCGCAGTGACCCAAACTGACTGTAAAAGGTCACCGGTGTGTCGTCTTAAAGCACTGTTTTTTTTTTCCGGAAGCATTTCCCCCTGCCCTCTATTTTTTTCTAACAGCAAGTCCATGGCGCTCCAGCACTGATGGTGCTACGGAGATACAGAGAGAGAGAGAGAGAGAAAGTCAGGTTAGATCGCCTCTTCTCCTCCCATGGCGCGCCTCATCATTTCATTCTGAGAGTGAGAGGCTGGTGACAGAAGTGCATGGATAGATAAAATGACGTGCTGTGGTGGAAATACAGAAAAGGAGGAGATAAGTGGGTGGATGATTAAAGAGGGGGAGCGATGGGCAATTGCTAATCACATCTGAGGCAGCAGCCATTTTAGACTCTGCTTATTTCATATTCCTTAAAAGTGGCTTAAGGGATCTGAATGAAAAACACAGCTGATTGGTGACTAGTCTTTGATTACAGACTCTTACTCGCAAAAACAAACACTTGCGCACACACATATACCTGACAGGCAAATGCCTCCCAGTAAAATTGCAGTAATCCTGCCACTATTTACTATGAGGTTTTTGAGTTAACAGTCTTTGGTCACAGGCCAGTGCCCTCTGCTTCCTGTAGCACACTCCGTTTTAATTACTTTCCTCTCGCCCTCCTTAAACACTTATTCCCAGCTCTGATTATACACACACGCGCACACACAGTAGCTCCGGTGTTTGTTTAAATTGAAAAGCTTCGGCTGTAGTCTGCATGCAAAGTCATTACAGTAATACAAGACACCATCAGTCATTTGAGCAGCAAGACTGAGCAGCCCAAGCAAACAAACAAACAAGACCGAAAATATTAGCCCTGCCATTCTTTAGCTTAGTGCATTATTTGTTTTTTTCGTCGCTCAAGTTGTTGAGTTAGGCTGCCCCCCACCAGTTGGTTAAATCCCTGTATGTAATAGACATGAAAATGAATGCATCTTCACGCGGTCGGTGCTTGTTTGTAAGTAAATCGGTTGTGAACTTAATCATGGCCAACATGCCAAAACTTAATCTGTGCAGTGCCGCACTTTAGCACACAATATGTTGGTCACACAAGAGCCACACAATCAATCCACAGTCTGGGTTAACAATTTAGAGCTCAGTCAGGCCAAGTTTAAGTGCTTGCTTTATGGTGCTTTCACACCTAGACTTTTGTTTCGGAACCTGTCTCGTTTGCCCAGTTAGGGCGGTTGGTTTGGCATATGTGAATCCAGCAATCGTGCTCGGATCCATGCCAAAACAATCGCTCCGAGATTGCTTGAATGAGGTGGTGTCAGCTTGTTTGAAACGAACTCTGGAGCAGATCAATTGTAGTGAGAAAGTGATATGATCCGAGCCCAGTTATATCACAGTGTTTTATGGATATGTAATAGGCATACGGCTATATGAAGAGAGAATTATGAGTTGGGCGGAAGGTTATTTAACAGACATCTCGTTTGCGGGCATCCGACTAATAATCTGCCGGAAATCGCGCGTCTCCCTCCCAGTCCTCAAAGACTTCACGCACCCTTCTCACCCCTCCCCACTGCATCTCTCCTCGCTCTTCAGACACGTCGCGCAGACCTTGTCAAACACCACCAAACCACCACCCCCGACAGCTGAGCAGGACTCCGCA